TTCCTTTTCTTTCTTTCTTTCTTTTTTTTCCTTCCTTCCTCTTCTTTCTTTCTTTCCTTCTTTCTTTCTTTCTTTCTTTTTTCTCTTTCTTTCCTTTTTTCTTTCTTTCTTTCTTTCTTTCTTTCTTTCTTTCTTCCTTTTCTTTCTTTCTTTTTTCCTTCCTTCCTTCCTCTTCTTTCTTTCTTTCTTTCTTTCTCTCTCTCTCTCTTTCTTTCTTTCTTTCTTTCTCTCTCTCTCTCTTTCTTTCTTTCTTTCTTTCTCTCTCTCTTTCTTTCTTTCTTTCTTTCTCTCTCTCTTTCTTTCTTTCTTTCTTTCTTTCTTTCTTTCTCTCTTTCTTTCTTTCTTTCTTTCTTTCTCTCTCTCTTTCTTTCTTTCTTTCTTTCTTCCTTTTCCTTCTTTCTTTCTTTCTTTCTTTCTTCTCAAACGATCCGGGAAACGGGCCTGGGCATGGTACGGATAGCATAGTGTGAGTACGCCCTTAGTCTCAGCATTAGTCTTAACCTATTGGTTATAATGACTTTCAGTGTCACCTTTTCATTCATTTATTCATCTTCTGTCGCTTTTCCGGGGCCGGGTCGCGGGGGCAGCAGTCTTAGGAGCGTCTTAGGAGAGAACCCCAGACTTCGCTCTCCCCAGAAACTTCCTCCAGCTCCTCCGGGGGGATCCCGAGGCATTCCCAGGCCAGCCGAGAGACATGATTCCTCCAGTGTGTCCTGGGTCTTCCCCGAGGCCTCCTCCCGGTGGGACATCCCTGGAACACCTCCCTAGGTAGGCGTCCAGGAGGAATCCGAGGAGGAGGAATCCGAAACACCCGAGCCACCTCAGCTGACTTCTCTTGCTGTGGAGGAGCAGCGACTCTACTCCAAGCTCCTCCCGGGTGTCAGAGCTCCTCACCCTATCCATAAGAGTGCGCCCTGCCAACCTTCGAAGGAAACTCATTTCGGCTGCTTGTATCCGAGATCTTGTCCTTTCGGTCATGATCCAAAACTCATGACCATAAGTGCTGACTATGGTTATGGTCAGTGTCACCTGTTAGTCACAAAAATGTCGTAGTACCACTGATTTGCCAAAGTTTGAATCAACGTCACTTTATAGGTCTTAGGTCTTGAAAATTTGTCTTTGTGCCTCCAGTCAGTACTAATTTATCTCAGTACCACCTATGAGTCAAAATTTATAGCGGCGCCCCCTATTGCTTAAAATCAGTATCAGTGCCTTCTCTAGATCAAAAGCTTTGACAACCTTCCATGATTATAAATCAGTGAGTTAATAAAACTAATGCTAGACTAACATCACAAGCCAAATGTTATCTTACAAATGAAACAAAATAAAATATTTCAGTGCCTGGTGGATGGATATGGAGTTTAACACACACACACACACACACACACACGTAATTCTACTTACCACAATGTAGGGTTTTCCATCTCTGTAGACGGTGTGGTTGTTGACCATGCTGACGACGGCCACTCCCAGATTACAGCGGATCCCGAAGGAGATGCAGAAGCCCAGGCCTGACAGTATGGCGATGATGTAGCGCCGCGGCAGACCGAAACATGTGCAGTCCACCACCGGCAGCTCCTTCTCCTCCTGCAGCTCCGGACGGCCTTCTGCTGACAACTCGATGGTCTCTCCATTCTCCTGACGCTTCTCCAAAACCCTGTCCAAAAACAACAGCAGCGTTTCTGACCATCACACACACTTTAGATCCAAATCAAACATAACCCAGGACAATCAGTGTAAAATCAATGACGTTTAAGTACACATCAAAACTAATCTGATTTTGTTAGTTCACATTGCTGGTTTTGTAGTGAACAATTCATCTGTGCGTGACATTAGGAAAGAAATAGTTTGCACTTCTAAAATGAATATCTGAAAATTATCTTCCTGTTTGTTTTCGGTTTGTCAGTCTGAGGTATTGGGTGTGGCTAACATATTTAACCACGCCCCTCCAGCTGTCAGTTTTAAGAGCGCTATTGAGCTTTTATGTGTCATCACACTATTAGGGGAACGCCCCCTTGGCGGTGGCAGGCAAAACATTACTATCTCCTGCTGACCACCAACTCAAGGCTTATTTCTCTTATTTTAGCCAAAAAATTAATAACTGTTGGAGAAATGTATGGATTTGTGCCGAATGATAGCATCATTGACCCATAACAATCCATGCTACCTATAACTGTCAGAGCATTTGTGTGCTTTTTATACAGTTTCTATTCTAATTTGCAGGTCAAGAGCAGTTAAAGTATAAATTAAGATGCAAAGTCAAAATAGCAGAAGTGAACGAATAGATTTGACCTACTAGCAAATATTAATCTAAGGAAAAAAATCGACACCAAATAAAAAAAGCAGACACTTATGTGCTGTACCACCATCACCAACAACTAAATCCCCGAGAAATATCCACAAGATAAATGTAAATATCGCCAAATTGAAGCTCTGATAAGGACATGAGGGTTTTAAATGACTGAAAAACAGTTGCGGGTGCAGTAAATATGGATTGCAAGTGATCTAACCCAGGCACATTCTGAAAACGTAGTCCCAGGGTTGTTTCTGGAGACATCTGGTCCCGGGAGGTACGTATTTTAGCCGTTTTTGTTTTTGCAAATCCGCAAGAGGCCGCTGCGTGTGCTTTTTTGTGTCTCAAATGTCTCTTACGAGCTCCGTTTATGCCTGTGACGTTCTCACGTAAACACAACAGAGGCCACTGTCGACCGACTGTCTGTCTGTCTGACTGACCGACTGACTGAATGATTGACTGGGCGACCAGCCAATCGACTGACCCACCCTCCTCCTTCCATAAACCCAACCAATTTTACAGATTGACCTGTCCACCCACTTACTTCCCTAAACCCAACCGATGATTTACAAAAGCCGTCCAGAAAAAGAAAAGCCCTCGTCTGACTTTTACCACATTTTCGGATTTTATCACACTCTCACCATGTTATTCACTCGTTCATTTTATTTTTTGGATTCTGTTTTGGTCTTACTTGATTTCTGGAACCACTCTTCCCCAGACTCTAGCCCGCAGTCAACTCCTCTCTCCGTCTCAAGTCCACCGATATACATGACGAGCTAACTGGACAAACTGGTTGTGGTGGGAAAGCCAAACAGAGATCAGCGGTCAGCTGGTAAGCATCAAAAGGAACAGCGTCACACTGTCCCATATCAGTCGCTTAAAAAATTAAACGCCGCCATACGTACATCCGGCTACATAATTTGCCATAGTCTCCAGAAATGTCCACAGGACTTTGTTTTCAGAATGAGCCTGTGTTCATTATATCTCTGTCTTGTTCTGTGGATTTATTTATTTTTCTTCGGCTTAGTCCCTTATTTATCAGGGGTCACCACTGCAGAATGAACCACCAACTATTCCAGCATATTTGCCTGTGCTGGGCAAAATATAAGTATCTCACACTGACCACCAACTTATGGGCTGAAAATGTTCTCTTATTTAAGCCAAAAAAATTAGTAGTTGTTGTAAAAATTAATGGATTTGTGGCGAATGATAGCATCATTGACCAAAAATCCATGCTACCTATAACTGTCAGTGCATTTGTGTGCTTTTCATAAAGTTTCTATTATAATGTCAAATGCAATTAAATAAATGGTCAAGTATAAATCAAATGCAAAGTCAAAATAGAAGAAAGGAATGAATAACCAATGACTAAATCACTGAGGAATATCCACAAGATAAAGGTAAACATCGCCAAATTGGAGATCTGATAAGGACATGACGCTTTTAAATGACTGAAAAACATAAATAAATAACAGTTTATAATTATAAATCTGTTTTGTTCTGTTGATATGTGATCCAATTACTCAAAGCTTGAAACAGATACATGACTGGTTTGTGCTGAGTTTGACAGAAATCTTTACAGATCAGCTAAATGAAAACTATCAATTACAGAAAACAGAAATGTTGAGCAGGAGGCAGGGGCGATTTTAGGATTTTCATTTTAGGGGGCTCAGCTCCTTATAAGGTAAATATAGAAAATGAATATATATATAATTATAAATATATTATAAATATAATTAAATAAATAAATAAATATAACATTTTTAACTGTATTACTATTAAATTACTACATATAAATGTAGTAATTTAATAGTAATACAGTTATAAATGTTATATATATATATATATATATATATATATATAAATA